CTCGAACACGGGACCAAACCGCTGTGTGGTCTCAGAATCCCAAATCATTTGACCTTTCTCTTGTCATCTGAACAGACACATGGGTGACTTAACAGGTTTTCTGTTTAAAAAGGTGAAATGTTTGGGTTCAGGACTTCATCTCTTGATTCCATCTCCTCTTAGATTCTAATCTGGTTTTGGGTCATATAGTCTTACCTTGACTTTTGGTTTTCAGCTAATGTCTGTTTTCTTGGACAGTAATTACAATGTCATGCCATTTAGGACTCAAAGCAACTGATGGGAGTTGGACAAAAGGATTCCATCATGTGCTTCGATATGTCTGTCTTGATGGAAAAATCAGAGGTTTCTTGGCATCTAAATGACTAATTTTACACCCGTTGGACCCTGATTATTCATAGTGGCAGTGAGTTTATGAGGTGGTGGATGAATGGATCCTATAGATGCCATTAGCTTTAATAACAGGGAACTTCTACAACAAAGGCATATGCTACTAAAGTCAATTACTGTTCTCATAAAACATGTTAGTGGCTAACTTGTATAACCTTGTAGTCTGAATGTGTGTTGATGGGATCTTACTAAGATTCATTGTTTGTAATTCACAGAGCAGCTGCTCCTACAAGTAAAGTATGTTTAATGGAGCTCAGGTGAAGCAAAAAAAAAAAATAATTGTGAATTCCAGGATTCTCTGGTTACTCGTTATATTACTTGCTGTGAAAAAGTACTTGACTTTTCTCCAATACCACATAAATTGGGCAAGGTTATGAGAAACGTTATTTTAGGGTATGAAAAGGTCCATGTTTATGAACCTTCAGATCAAGTTTCAGCTGATCTGAATTGACCTTTTTTTAAAATTTTATTACAATGAAACTACTACGTTGACCTCTCGGGTCCTGTCCATTGTCTACACACACAAATTTAAAATTTTACTCTAGCATCCATCTTTCTTATACAAGACGTGTTAAACGCTAGCTGGCTTACAGTTTGTAGCTAGAGGAGAGAAAACTTCCAAGTTCAAAGAAATTGCTTTAGTAGCTTTGAAGTTGGATGTGCTTCCATTTGTTCGCGCATGCGAGAGCACTACAATGCATCCTCAAATGATTCAGAAAGACTGGAAATACGTCAGAATCCTTTCTCTCTAGATCATCTTTAACCTCTAACTTCATGGTGCATTAAGAGACGTGAATTTAAGCCCTGATTGAGTGCTTGTGAGAGCTGCTGGAAAGCCTCCTGTTGACTCCAGTGATGCCATGGATGGTGGTCTCTGGAACAAATGTTGTTTTAGGGATTGAATTTGTTTTGGCAGTAGACTGTTCTGAACGCTTTTATCAGTTGAAGACAGCTTTTAAGGTGTCTAATTAAAAAAAAAAAAAAAGAAAAGACTACAATTCCTACTAAAGCTTGGCATATGTTAGCATTTTATAGTTCCTTTGTTTCATGAGAGACTTAATCAAAACTGTTTGTAATGGAAAAAGGTTAAGCCTTTAAATATTGGGATTTACAGAAACTGTTTGAAGTTTACTGCTGGAAAAGGGGGTTCGGGAAGAAAAAGGAGACACTGCTTTGTTATATTGTTTGAAATTAATTAATTTTGAAAAAATTAAACTTGAGGAATATTTTGAGAAATAGTTTAAGAAATAAATATGAAAATAAGTTAGTTTTTTTTTAATGCCAGCATTGCTGAAATGTGGAGTGGCATTATCAGCCAGCTTAATAATCTTGACGTAAAATGTGCAGTGTGTATGAAATGCAAAATTCACAATGTGATTAGAAACCTTAAATTTTGACCTTGCCTTTGACTGCTGGATGGCTTTAACCTTAGAGCTGTGTTGATGCCTGCCTTTAATCTGCAATGTAAATCAGTGGATGTTTAAATATTCTGACTGGTGAATCATACATGCTTTTGCATTCAGTTCAGTATCGTTGCGAATGTTAATACTCTAACCTCACTGGAAGCCTTTTTTTCTCCCGCTGTAGTGGTTTATTTACCTTCCTACATCTCATTGGGGAAACATCATTGCTTCCTTACCTTAATGTCTTTCTCTTCTTCAGTGCTGCTTGGCCATGGAGCTCCTCTCATTAGAACAATCACCTCTTACACGGTTTTCTTATTCCTTAACAGTTGCTTTGTTTTACATTATAGCACCTCTAACCACATACAAAAGATGGAAGTCTGCCCTTTTGGGTTATTCCAGGACAACAGGATTCTGAATTATTTTTCTGACTTTATGCTACCTCATATGCTGTATGATTTTGGATTACACACCTGCTTCAGCTGGTTTGAAAATTAGTCCAGTGATTTATGGGGTTTTTTTCCCCCCCCTCTTTGTATCTTGAACATCATATGCACAAGAGAGCCAGCACAGGAGAAGTAGTAGAAGTGGTTGGCCAAGGGCAGAGCATATCTGCCTTCTCTGACAGCTGCCAGCAACAGTATTGACCTGGAAAGTCAGACTGAACCCTTGGGGCAGAGGGGAGGGGACACCCATCCAAGAGATGCATTAAGCAGACCTAATGATCCCCTGCTGTCACAAGGGGACTGATCCTGTTTCTGACCTTAATTCCTTACTGGGAGTTGGACTCAATAATTCTTATGGGTCCCTTCCAACTTGAGATATTCTCTGATTCACCAATGGTGGTGCTCCCTAGGTGGCTCTGTAACCCAGCCCAGCACTGAGACAAAAGAAGAGCACTCTTTGGGAGAAAAACGTTGGGTTTTCTCACATTAGTGAGATGAGTCATCCTGGTCAAGGGTCCATCGGGAATTGGAGCTGGCACGAGGTTGGGAGCAGGATGGCGTGGCTGGGAGTGTGGGCAGGGAGCCATCACATCTGCTGCCTGCAGAGCTGCAACGCAGCCCAGCCCAGAGTGCCTCCAAATTTATGTCCTGTCCTCAGGGTGATGGCGATGATTTTATTATTTCATGGAGCTGGCGAGATAAGTATGTTTTTTTTTCATCTCATGGTGGCCATGTGAAAATTTGTGACAAACAGGCGTGTTTATGGAGTGCATAAACAGTCCTGAGGAAAGGAGGAGACCAACCTTCTATCTGCACACACTCCAGAGTGAGCACCTGGGTAGTGGGGTCCAGAGTCATCTCTATCTGCCTTCAGCCAACTTCCTTGCAAACACAGTTTAATGGGATACAAGGTGTGTTACCCGTCTGGGATGGTTGGTCTCGTGTCTTGGATGCTCTCTGAGGAGAAAAGAGTTAGTTATCCCTCCGGAGGCTGAGGGTGGAGAACCAAATTGTTGAGCGATTCTGTACAAGGCGAGTGCTCGGATGAGGTTCTCTCAGTGGCAGCAGCTTTTGGCACAACCGTTTTGCAAAGCTGCAGGTAACTCAAATCGGCAGGTTGATCTGAGTTAAAACAACCCTGCAAAATTTAAAACCGGTATCTCACCCTTGTGTGATCCTTCTTTATGGGGTCATCCGGGACTTCCTGCTCCTTAAGCCAGCAGTGTCGCTGGAATAGTGATGCCTGAAGCGTCATCAGACCACGAATGCAGGATTTGAGTTAATTTTGCAGCAGTGTGAACTCTCTCCATGGTCCATGTTTTGTCTCTTAAACCGACTCAGTTGTCCCTGTTTCTCTGTGAGGATGCATATAAGTGGATCAGGAGGCTGCTCTGCCCGGATAAAAAAATTTTTTACTTTTCTTTTTTTTTTTTTTCCCCCTGGGCTAGCTCTCTGGTCTGTTTTTCTCTGTAGCTGCGCAGCGGGTAGGGTGGCACAGGAGTGTAGGTGCACAGGGCAGAGGCTGCTGGACCTGACCTCAGGCTTAGGCAGGGAGTCTGCCAGAAATGGCCTGGGCTGACGTGGTCCTGCTGTTTCTCTGACCTTGCTTGCCTCTTCCCGTCCTTGCGCTGGCTCTAGCGTACCTTTGAGCCTGTGCAGCAAACCGTTTGCTGCTTTTTAGCGTTTTGAAGTATGGTTTTGTGAAGCCCAGGGAGCCAACAGAGCCACTTCGAGCTGCTCAGGTGTGGAGGTCCAGCTCCCACCAGGCTGTTAATGGCGCTTTATTCCAGCGTTGGGGCATGCTGGAGCACTCCAGGAGCCAGTTTAACACACAACAGCGGTAGGAAACGGAGCAAAATGATTGAGAGGGTCTGGGCCACATGAATGTGTTGAAGCACTTTGGCAAAGTGCTGGTGAGTACATCTACTGCAGCAACTGGTGGCACCACAATAGCCCACCAAAGTTGCAGTTTTTTTATTTCTGTGAGAATTCTATTCTGGTGAGGGGTCAAGCTGTGGATTCCAGGTGTGCAACAGTCTAATCCAGTATTAGATCTGGCCTGTGGATGCTATTATGTGTGCCATGTCATCACTGAAGTCAATTTAGTGGTTGCTTGGTTCAGGGTGCCCTGCATTGTTCTTGATTTTTTTTTTTTTTTAATTTTAATTGTCATTACTGAAATTTAATTTTAAGACGAACCCAATGCAATTGTCATGTAGTGCGAGCTAGTGCTGTTCAATTTGCAGTTCTGTGCTGGGATTTAGTCACAGAAGTTATCAGGAGATGCTGTTTGTCCTCCCCTTCTCCAGGATTATTCAGAACATCATTGTAGAATAAATCTGGTTTTCTTCATTGCTATTCAAATGATGTTTCCCAGACACATTGATTAATCTCTAAATGTGGTCTGCTGAGATTGAAGATAAGTACACTCATTTCTATTATTCTAATTCTGAACAGAGTCTGTAACAATAAATGGTGCAATATCTGTCGTATTCATGCTGAAAGGTAGATGTACAGATTTGACTTGTAGCATTGTCATGTGGAATTTTTTTAAATTTCTCTTTAAATCTAGAGCATACTCTTTTTAAAAAAAGGCATAAACTGATAAATACTGGCAACTCAGTGTAAGCCAGTAATTTTTAAAATGTACTTACAATTGTCTTTTCCAAAATCTGTTTTGAAATTGGTTTTGTTGGAGCACTGAAGCCCCAGGACATGTAGTTTGTTTTGCCCTGACTTGGATTTTTTTGTTCCACTTTTGCAGGAGTTTTTTGAGAACCCTGCTTTTCGCCCCGATGGCATGAAGCTCTATCCAACACTAGTGATCCGTGGCACTGGTCTGTACGAGCTCTGGAAGACTGGAAGATATAAGAGCTACCCCCCCAGCACTCTTGTGGATCTGGTGGCCAGAATCCTGGCCCTTGTCCCACCATGGACACGTGTGTACCGTGTTCAGAGGTAATTCTCTGTGGTAGGCCTTGGATATTGATTTATTACACTTGGAGGAATTCTTACTTTAATTATAGCAAGATCTGACTCAGCCTTTTAATATTTTTCAACCTTAATCATTCGTGCACTAAAGATTTTTAAAACTGCTTCCTATCTCTTCAGACTGGGTAAGGCCAAGTAGAATGAGAAGCTATTTAAATTGAACTGCCTCTCTAATGCACCCAGAAACTTCCAAGATTTCTGGAGGCCCCACTTTTGCTGCCAGTCAGACAAGAGCATAGGATGCAGCACACATAGTACTTTAATGATATTGATGGATAATTGCCTCTTGGCTGTGGGTGAAGAAATACATTTATTGCAGGAGCTGTGAGGTGTGTAATTTTTTTTTTTTTTGGTTATAGAAACTTCCTTTCTTTCCCTGTGGGCGTTGCAGGGTTTTCATAAATGTACTATGATCGTGCCGTTATTTCCAACACTCACCTCCCAGAACAATAGATAATACTCCTATTTAGGAGTATTCAAAAACTGTTCTTGCTCAAAATTGTATTTATTTACAATGCTGCAAAAAGTAATAGGGTGTTGAGGAAAACTTGCGAGGCTGGGAAGCATCACGGAAAGAGAGAGGATGCACAAGTGGGATCTTGTGGTGGTGAAGCCTGAGTGATAGAGGTGAGATGTGGTTCAGGCAAGTTTGAGGTCAGATTCAGAAGGAGTTTTGCTGCAAACAACAAGATCACCATAGAAAATATGCAGAGGAGGAAAAGTTCTTAATGCTTTGATCTGTAATATGCATAAGCCACCGGTCCCATGAAAAGCATTTTTTTTCCAGGATAACTCTTTTTAGAGATGAAAGTATTAACGCAGCAGCCAGACAAAGCTTTGGTAAGATCTCATCTCGAATAATCCCCATCTTCAAGAAAATGAACTGTGGAAATATGTGCAGAGGAGCATCAGTCTTTTGTCTGAAGGATGGATGTGGACATAAATGACGTCTGTAAATCTGTGAGAGAAGGAATATAATCTTTTAAGAAACAGGAACATTGATTTGGGCTGAGAACAAGGAAAGACGTACCCTTGCATAAAATGAGGCAGGAAGCTGGGAATTTTCAGTTAGTGCTGAGATTCTGGAGTAGCTTTGCAAAGTTACCAAAAAGAAAAAGAAGCTAAATATGGAATATGGTGAAGTTTGATTAAGCTTATGAATGCGATTGTGATACAGCAGCCTGTAGTAACCGAGACACGGTTTCAGCGACCAGGAGATCCTTCCTTCAGATCTTCGTCACTGTGAGAAACTGGTGCCTGTAGCTGAATTCTGAGAAGGATGTGGTACTGATGAAGGAAGCAAAACATAGCTGATGGGAAATCTCTACTCGATATTCCCCCAGGCTCTTCCCATCACTCGTAGAAGCATTATTAAAGGCAAAACTCGTACCTTTTCTCCCTGCACATTTCCTTCTTCCTCATCAATTCCGCTACAGACGGAACAGCCCATTTGTTCATATCACCGTGGCATTGTATAACGGGTTTTTTCTTAGAGGACGGCATGAGTTTGCAGCCTAGCAGGCCTTCTCCTAAGGAACGCAGGCCTGGAAAAGTCTTTGCTCCATGTCCTGGTTTGCCTGGGCTTGACTGATTTCTGCTGTCAACAGCGGCAGCCTCCATCCAGCTGTCATCTGGTTGTCAGTTATTATGTTCCGGTGGAATAGCTGTTTTCTTACTGACTGGCTCATGTTATCTGAAATTTGTTCGTGGTGATTACAGATTTTTACACCTCCAGTGCAAGGTCCAAAAGCTATTACTTTGATCTAAATTGCTTTCAGGACCATTGTGTGACCCTGTAACAGAATAACGAACAAAGCTGCATTTCTAAAACCATTTGTGGCCTGTTCCCAACCCTGCTTCGCTGAGGACAGTGACTTTTTTCCTGTTCTCCATGACTGCCCCAGGCCCTTTCCCTCTCCCTCCAGCCTGCTGCCATGAGTCCTCCATCCTTCACATTTTGCATTTCAGGTTCTATTTCCACAGTGTTTTCAGACTCAACCTCTGCCTGGTATGGCAACTTGTCCCTAGCCCTCTGCATGCTGACTGGCCATTTGGTGTGTGCATTCAGGTTTTCTAGCAAATAGCACCAGAAAAAGGCTGAGACATCTATGCCCTCCGTTATTAGGACCGCTATTTGGTCATCTCTGTTCCCTAGTACTAGCTTTTGAGGAAACATAAGGAACTCCGTGTTTTTGTAGCCTGTCACGTGCTCAAAATAATCAGTTTAATGAGTTGGGTGAACATGGGAAACGTTTCACTGACAAAACACTGTGGAAGTCTTTCTGCTTCAGGAAACCTAGTTAAATATGTCTTAAAAAAAAAAAAAATTTAAAAAATGCCAATGTTAATGTCTGGTTGAAGGAGAATATATCTTCCAGGGTATTTTGTGACTGTCAGAGATATTTAATATTATATTTATGCTGAATGTTTGTGAACCTCATTACCACCAAAGTGCTTTGGTGTGTGAGAAAGTGTGAAAGTAGTAGTGCCACACACCTTGGGGCTTTCTTTCGTGGGTCTTGGTGTTTTATATGAAAGTTATTTTCACTCTGCTGATGGGGAAATGCAGAATATGAAGAGATAAAATACCTTACTCAACTGAGATCATACAATAAGTCAGAGCTGAGAGCAGACTCAAGGTCTTTAGACTTTCGTTGTGTGCTTCAGCCAACTGCTTCACAAGTGTCCTAAGTAATGCAAAACGTTTGAAAAACAGAAGATTAAATAGGCCTTGTTGAAGCCTCTGGCAAATTGCACATTAACTTTAATAGGGTCAGGATTTAATCCCCCGTATCCCTGAATTTGTTTAGCATTTTAACAAGTTCAAAAATCACTGGTACAATGCTGTCTTGTGGCTATTCAAAATAGGCAGTTAGTGTGTGCATTCATGATGCACACAGGGTACTTATTTAAATACTCTGCCCTCGTATGAAGGGGCGATGGAAAACCTATTTCTTGCTTTCTCTTTCTTAAAAAGCTTATTTTTTTCACATTCATATTTTAATTTAGTTTGCTCCCTAGTAGGCAGATGAGAGAGGCTCAAGATACTGTGTGTTGTAATCTATCTTTTATTTGCAGTACTTCGTTTGCTGTTTCACAGCTGACTCTGGATTTAGCTAAAGACTCGGTACTGGAAGATGTCATGATGTCTTATCTGTGCCCCTGTAGGGAAAATACATACAGCCTGACTTTTTGGAGTTGTTCCATAATTATAAGAAAGGCGTTTAGTTAGATTATCACCGTAGATCTAACATACCCTGATGAAAATGCCGTTCTCCTCTGGTGTGTCCTTTAGTCACAATGTGAAGTGCTCATTTCCTCTAATTGAAGGTCTTTAAAGTATGTTATGTTGGCTCTGTGGTGTCTTATTTACTCAAAGAAAGCCACTGAATAAATGAACTGGTTAGCTAATTGTATTTTGCCTCAACTTTTTGGCATGCAACTGTTAGAAGCGAGGAATTTTTCATAGAACCTTTGGCTTTATAGAGAAAAAAAAAAAAAAAAAAAAAAAAAAAAAAAAAAAAAAAAAAAAAAAAGATCCTGGAAGACAGGGGAGGAAAGTAAACCACAGGGCTTTCATGATGCTGGAGAAACTTGTACCAAAATTGGAGTGTGATGCTGAAATGGCAGGAGAATCCTGGAATCCTGAAGCCCTTGTTTTCATTCTTAACGGTAAAGGAAAACTCCTTTTCTTGCCCCCCCTTTGCCAGTGTCTCAGACTTCTGCAGGGCTGAAGCAGCACAAGAGTCTGTAGGGCCCTTGAAGACCTTTATCTTTCATACAGCTACAGCCAAAAATAGTAATTGTTAGCGAGGGCCATGGTGTGAATGCAAGTCCTCAAGGAACTGGATAGATCAATTAATACATTTTACAGAGGTCATCAGACAGCTGCTAGATGGTGATGACTTTCAGTCACTACTGAACCAATATGGATTGAGCTAATTACATTACCAATTCCCTGAACCATCCCGTTCTCTATATGTTTTTTTTTTTTGTGATATTCTGTTCTTTATCAAATGCTTGCGTAGATAAAGGAGGAATTCTCGCCGAGGAATGTTGGAGCCCCGTTTTGGGACCAACCCCGTTGTACAATTTCCTGGGTATCTTTCATACTTTTGCGGTCCTTATTTCCTTGGAGATCTGAGGGGGTTTGGCTTACGCAGCAGCACGCTTGGGTGATGTGTTACCAGAGGTGCCAGGGTGGAGTTTGAGCAGGGGGAGGGAGAAGCATTTGAGATCACCCTCTAGTACAGCGTTAGATAGAAGGTGAGCATGGTGTAGGAGGTGCCGATAATCCACAGGTTTCTTTTTCAGCTTGATCTGGATGGATAAATCCTCCTTTCCCTAAGGGATGGTATCATGCCTTTGTAATCTCTAGTGGGACAAATGTCCCTGGAAGGCAGCAGAGAGGCCAAACCTGGTCTGGCTTCCAAATTTCAGTTTAGTACTTTCCTTGGAGAACTGAAGGAAGGAGTTCTGCTGTTTGCAGACTCATGATTTACATTCCCATAGGAAGGCCTGAGACTTTCTGGCTGGACTTTGCTGCAAATCCTTTGCTAAACAGAATTTTTTCACTTTCAAGCAGCTAGCATCCCAATATAAAATGAATTTTCCCTGATGGACTTTCATCTCCAAGACAGCAGAAAAATGTGGTCCTGTTCCCAGTTGCTGGTCTCCAGCAACAGATACTATAAGAACATCTGACCCGGAGTCCTAGGCGAGGCACAAGCTTGGCTGGATGATCTTTTTTTTTTTTTTTTTTTTTTCAAGAACTGAGAGCAAAATGATAACCTATTTCTGAGGATTGTAAAAACCTACTTTTATCTTCAATCTTTTTACTAAAATATAGCTTTTTTCCCTTCATCTTTCTCCTACTTTTAGTTGTGTTTTGCCTGTGTTATTTCTTGTTCGACCAAAGATTTGAAACAAAGGTAATTCAGATAAATTCTGTGGTCTGCTATTTGGGATCTTGGCTTAGGTGATTGTAATGGCACTTTATAGTGTATTGTCTGGTAATGCAGTTGTCTGAGGTTTTTGTTTTTCCTCTTATATGCAGAGATATCCCAATGCCACTAGTCAGTTCTGGAGTGGAGCACGGGAACCTGAGAGAACTTGCCTTGGCCAGGATGAAAGATCTTGGGACACAGGTAAAATATTTGTTAATTGGTACTGAGGGAGAACTGCTTGTTGACTTTTCACAAAATAGCAGAGAGGAAAGTAATGACCAGAAGACATGATCTGAGCCAGGTTTACTGCTGAACTAAAATGATCTGCAAAGGTCTCTCAAAAAAGTGTTAATGATTAAAAAGCACTTTGGTGATACTTCTGTAACCCTGGTTTTGTTTGGTTGATTTTTTAGTATATCACTTTCACCTTGTTCCTGAAGGTACTTGGTAACTAATTTGTGATATTCTGCTGCTTAGCAGAATGAAACTCTTAAATCAGAGAGAAGGCAGGAAGGTTTCTCTTTAATTTATGCTATTAGAAGTTCGCCTTTCTTTTTCCCACACATGCACTTACTTGACTGAACAATTGGAAGAAAAGCTCTTAGTCTGAGGCCAGAGAAATCTTGCAAGAGAGATTTCAGCACAAACAGATGAGACTTGATATTCTTGATATTTCTAAGGTCAAATAAAAATATGAGTGGGGGTGGAGAGAAGGAGGGGGAGGGAGGAATTGCATTTGTATTTGAAGTCAGAAGGAGCTACGTATACACAGTCTTGATTTTTCTGGGAAGATCGTTGCGGCAATCGGCGTTCACAGTGCCCCTCACGGTCTGCCCTGACACTGCTGCCTCTGAAACCTGGTTATCAGCCACAGTTTGTGGATCCCCCAGGAGAATTATGCCAAAGTTCTTCCTTTCTTGGGATGCCTTGACTTCCTATTCCACGGGATTTTAGTTGCTTTGGTGTCCTGATGTTCAGGCAGGGGCAGATCCTCACCATAACTGTTCTGTGTATCTGTATTGTAATTTAGCACTTGCTCTTTCTAGCTCACCTTTTCATAAAGAGCTTTTCAGGCATTAATGCATCCAGCAATAGTATTCAGCTACTGTGTGGTCCCACATCAATTTGTGCAGCTGACCTGTACTTTTGGTATTTAACGTGGATAGTTCTCTAGGCCACATCTGACTCCTCACTGCCTTTGCCATCTCACTTGGATCTTGCAGTTGCAGTGCAAAAGATCAGAAAAGAAACTCCAGACTGTCTTCCTTCCAGCTGGGCTTTCCATACCACTTAATCCCTCCTAAGCGGATGCCCTGGACTTTCTCCCTAAATCATTCCTCCCAGTCTCTCTCCAGTTGCAAGCCAGGATTTGGCCGATAACTTTGCCAGCCACAGAAGCTTCCATCCCTCACTTCAAAACCAGGCAGGGGAGACAATCTCTGTGGTGCAGCTTTTCAGTTGAGCTCTTTAAGGCTACTGCTGAACTCTTCCCTGAGTTTGATACTAAAACCACATCGTTTGATGTGAACCTGATCAAGATGAGCTGGAGAAGCAGGGATAGCTGATCCATGGCAGTCAGGGCTGAGCTGAACCATTAAAGGGCTTGTCAGGCTGGCAGTCATGGCTTCTGGAAGAACCAAATCTGTGAATATCTCTGCTGTGCAGATGATTCCAGATTTTAATTTTGTGAGGCAGAAACACTGCAGCTGGTGGAATGAGGAACCAGTCTGCCGCAATATAGCTTGAAATATAAGGTACTGTTGTGTTTTTCATGTGTCTTAGGAGAAAACTGTAAATATATGCTTTGTCCTCTTGTCTCTTAGCATGCAAAAGGAGAGAAAAAGGCCAAGGCATGGAGGGGACTTGTAGGAATCGCAGACATTTCAGGCTCAAGACTAAAGATCAGCCAGCTCACTAGCTCTGGCAGTTCTGGCATCCCTCTCTGGGGAATGGCTTGGTGAGGAGCATGTTTGAGGGCTGGGGATCAGTCGTGCCAATGCTGCAGCTTGTGTCTGTGGTGGTTGGAAGGAAATTATTCTTGAAGAGCCTCACTGGAGGGACCAGATGCTGCCCTGTGGCTGCCAGCCACCAGGTACAAGTGAAGATACACAATTGGGACACAGAACTTTAAAGCAACATCCCAGAATACGTTGTCCTTCCTCGGTTCTGGGGTTCTTAATGAAGGGTGGATATTTCTTTACCTTTTACTGTTCTGTTTGTGTAGCTAAGAAAACTGTAAAGCAGAGAAGAGTTTCTCTATTCTAGAATCCTGGTACAACAGTGAATCCTGGTTTCACCACAACCCACTCTAAAAACAAACGCACAACCTCACTTTTTTCTGCTGTTTGAGAGATTGTTGCTTTATATCGATAATGGAATTTAAAAGCATTCAGAGGAGGACAGGGCATGAGATAGAGCTTGTTCTGGGCACTCCGAGTTTCTGTGTGAATTGGATTTTCACACATTCTTTCCATATCTAAAAGTCTGGCTTTTGGAAACACATGGGCAGGTAGGTGTTGTTGCCGTTAAAGTAATTTTAGCCCACTGATGGAGGTTATCTTCCTTCCATTCAACTACAGCAGTGCTAGTGGAATGAAACAAGCATTTGCAACTTTGGGTAAAACTGTTGTGGCTGCACTTTGCTGACAAAAGTTGGGTTAAGCTTAGTGTTGGACTTTCCACTAAACCCACCAAAATGTGAGTGCACGTTGTCTCCCACAGTAGGAGTCCTTATACTGTCATAACTGTTTGCTTATGGGAACGAGTGCCAAATTACTCAACTTTTATTGGCTTTACTGAGAAGCACAAAAGTTTATGCAAGTTACAACCCGTGTCTCAAGCACTGAGCTTGGAGCCTCATCTCCTCCTCTGTCTGGCTTCGAGGGGAGGGAGGATTTCTCTTGGCTGTCTTTGTTTTTTCCATCGTTGGTCCCAAGCCTCAGTGATGCTCTGTGGATGCCAGATCAGCATTAGCTTTACTTTCTGATATCTGGGTAGGGCTTCTGCAACTGTCCTCATTTAAATAAAAGAAAAGGGTTGCTGAGGTTCAAAAAATGGCTATTTAAGGACTCTCTTGCCTTGGCCTAGATTTTACCAATGTTAGACCTTCCCAGTGTAGGGTAAAAATGGATTATGCCAAAGTTGGGGTTTTTTTTCTCTGTTCTTTTTTCATGTCTGTTGACTTTGTCTCCAGACCCTGCTGTTTGTGAATCAAAGGGTACGTTTCCTTATGAGCCATAATGGTTGCTTAGTGAATTGATTTTTGCCAGCATGTCTTTCCATTTAGCACTAGGACCTCTTCCTGAGGTATATTAGGGATGGATCGGTGAGCAGTTTTATTTTGAAGTCTATCCATTTGAAATTCATCTGTGCAACTTCATGCTATTTCAGTTTAGTTTTGAACCCAATAGGTGGCTGGAAATCTCTCTGTTTCAGAGCTTAATGTTTTTCTCCTATGTAATTTTTTTTTTCCTCCCTTTCTTTTCCTAGTGTCGTGATGTAAGGACAAGAGAGGTTGGAATTCAAGAAATTCACCATAAAGTGAGACCATATCAGGTAAGATTTGTCTTTTTTTTTTTTTTTCTAGGAGCTTGTTTCAGACACAATTTGTTATATGTGTTTGGTGTGGAGATGTTGAGACACATTTGTTGCACGTCCAATCCTGTGGTTTGCCTTTGTAGCTGGATCCAATTTTCCATTTATTCTCACAGCAGCTTTGGATGTCTTTTGTTTGAGCACAGTCACATGTTGAAATTTATGGACCGCCATGTTCAATAAACTGACTACAGCTAGCAGTTATTTTGATATTTGCACTGCTATAACAAAATAACTGCCTTCCCTTTCCTGCCTCCTCATTACAAATTTGAATTTAGAAAATACCGATAGCACCGTGTGTGTGCGCTGAACAGGAATGAAGGTTTAGCAAGATGAATTTATAGCCTATATTTTTGTGAATGTGCATGTTTATATAGGCAAACAGTATATGTATAAACACACTTCTGCACATGTATGTATATATTTATGTGAGTAGATCCATTTAGCATACGGCACATGTTGTGTTTTTCCTTCCTAAAATCCTAAAATAGTCCACAGAAAAATTGCTATGCTTATTTTATAGAAAGGAAAATATTCACTGCTGAACTTCAAGCATCCAATTTAGGAAACTAATCCTCCAGTAGTCACAAGGAGGGATGAATCGTTCCGGAAAGTGGTCAGGAGGTCCATGGCACCCAAGGAGATGAGCTTTCTAAGATCACACAGGCTCTGATCTACCTTACTATACACATATGCTGTGGCTAATAAATTATACCCTGGCATATTCTCTTCCTGTGCCTTTGCTGACATTAAGGAGGGGCTGAAACGATTCTGGAGTTTGTCCGTGATAATTGTTGCTTTTACTTTCAAACAAGAATTCTTTGTGCCAGGCAGAAGACACCGCCACCCCCAGGTAGAGAGCTGATTGAGAATGACACACACCTCTCTGCTCTTCTGTGCAGTGGGCATGTACCCGCTTCCTAAATGGGAGCCGCTAAACTGGGGTTAGGCTGTGTGTCAGCACAGAGAGAGATTCCTCACAGAGGTCCTCTCACTTGTGCTTTGGAAGCTCCACTGATTATTCAGGCTTCAGAGAGGCTCTGAGTTTGGTGCCAGAAGTTAAATAGAATGAATATTCTCTGAGTTTAGCATCTGAAAGATGTTCTCACTTTGCAAATCAGAGATTACTAGGTGCCATATTCTGTTTTTCTTCTGCCATTATGTGAATTCAGATGGAGTGCGATACTCCCCATCTTGCAGAACAGAAATCCAATATAAGTGGATATAACGTATATAAATGTGTAACGATCCCAGATAAATTATCTTGTTCCTACCAGATTTTTTGCAAGAACTGGGGCTGTACGGACTCGTTTGCACATAGGGCATGCAGCCTTTGTGCTCTGCTCCTGTTATCTAATCTGAGGTCATCTCACAAAATTATCTTCCAAAGATGTCTGTTCTCAGCAGTGCTAATCTAATTTAAATTGTAAATTTCTTGAGTAGTTAGCAAATAGCTTATCACAGGGTTTTCAAAGCAACGTTATGTTGAAAATTCCCTTTGTTAAACTCATCTGTCTGAGTGGCAGGAGGATGTCATTATGTAGTCTTAGCAAAATTTATCATGACAGCAAGCAAGAGAAATATTCTGAAGATGGTATAATTTTTCATGCGCTTTAGACTAATGACAAGGTATGATGTTTTTCTTGGCTTCATAAGTAAACAACGCATCCTCTTGATAAGAGAGGCTATCATGTCAGATCTAAAATAAATTAATCTCTTGCTGTAATTAGTTGTGCTTTATGCAGCTTCTTTCTGTTAAGGATTGGTGGGCTGTATGTATTTTTATAATGGTAATGGTGTGTCTGCTTTTAAAAGTATTTTTTTTTTAAAAAGAAAATCAATCTGAAGTAGATTACTTGCCTGTAGCTGGTTATTTACAGAGCTGTCTCTAAGCTGCCTTTTCAATTAGTGGCATTTCTCCATAGCAGTGGAAGGTATTTGCTTGCTCTCAGAATGGTTAAGGCTGCTCAGTGCTACGTAATAGCCTTCAAAATGCTCTAGTGAATTGTTGCTGTAAAGAGACGTTGGATTGACAGTTTTTGAAAGGCGAGGGGCGATGACAGCTCTGTTACAGATATGAACCTACATTAGTGTTAAAGCAGAAAGTGTAAGATAGAGAAGCTGCTGCTCCTGCAAAGCGGGGGGTTTTGTATCAAGATAATGATCTCCATGTAGAGCCTTGGGAGGAATAAGGCAGATTTTAAAACTGGAAGTAGCTGTTTTACGTCGAGTGTAATCTGCAACTGGGTTTTCACTTTGTTTGGCAAAAGTAAGTTTAAAACAGGCTGTGCTGGGCATTTAATACGAACTGAAATGGTGATCCACCCTCATGAGGGTGGTTCTTACCCCGCACACGGGGTGGGGACTGATGCTGGGGACTGCAGCGTGCTAGAGCCGACCAGGAGGGGATTCAGGATGGCTTTGCCACGTTTATACCCCTGTCCCAGAAAGGAAAAGTCTTGATACATCTCGTGAGTCCCTGAAAAGTCTTTAAGGGGATTTATGTGTTCTAGAACCCTCTGTGTGCAGGAAAGCAGGGAGAACCAAAAACTCGATCCAGAAGGGACTTTTCTGAGCAGATCAGCTGCTCTGGTACATGCTCGTGATGCTACAAAAATGCACCTGATATCGAGCCTCCCGGTGGAGGTTTCCGTAGTCTTGTTTCATCTCTGCCTTCAAGTGGCTTTCGGACTGGATGTGGGCGTAACGCAGCACCTAGTCCCTGCTGGAGGACAAGCAGTGGAGCCACGTTTTCTACTTGTTTTGTCCTCAGGAGAAACCAGGAGATCTCCAATCTTGCCATATCAAACTCAGGATAGCACTGTTTAATAATATTTTCTGCTTTTTTTTTTTTTTTTTTTTTATTAGCAGGAAGCTTTAACCTAACTGCTTTTCCATGTAGGAAACTAACTGCAGAATCTGGGTATTTAAAAAAATCTCATGCTCTTTTATTTGCCTGCACATTTCCATTTTACCAGTGGTGTTATGTACCTCGCGGTAGATCTGGATCTGTGTGTGTCAGCCATCCTGACACAAGCTGGAGAGGAGTTGTGCTCTTGGAGAACTTGGCACATCGGCAGACATCTGCTTGGGCGCTTACCCCGTGAGCTGTACGTCAGTGCTGAAATGAGCCTTGCTTCTGTAGTCAGTAAGGGATTTAATTGTGAGCTGTGTTCACCCAGGCTTCGTCATGGAGTAGAGCAGGCAGGCGACAGAATCCCTTATGGCTTTTCTGTAAACAAATGTTTAATTCATGGATTTCTGGGTATTGGAAGATTTGCAGAAAAAATACTGAGGTCCTTCACTTTAGTCTTTATAGTAGTATTGGGAAGAACATGGCAATGTATACATAGGGATCAATCCCATACTGTACTAGGATGTAAATGTTAGCGCAGTGCTGGTGCCCAGGGCATCTACTGACACCTGCCATTCACATTTGAGGTCCTAAAGTTAAAGGAGTCTGTCAAAATGATGGCAAGTGTACCTGTGTGATGTTTTAGTTTAGATGAGCGGTGTGTGCTTTTGAAGCAAATCTTCTGATTATTCCCCTGATTCCTTGCAGATTAATTTAGAAAGCTGGTAATGGGTGTCTGGTTCATGGGGTGAGAACCAAGACTAGTCTGTACTGAAACCCCCCCAACATACACTGTGTTGTTATCAGGCTCTCAGTATTGCAAGCTATTGCCCCCGCTCTTCTGTTGAGCTGGGCAATTTGGAAAATAATTTTAGTCTTAGCAGCTGATGGTTACAGGTGGGCAAGAGAGTCCCTACAGCAAGGATATTAGGAATTGTTTCTTTGCAGAAGGGGTTGTCCAGGGCAGGGTGGAGTCCCCATCCCTGGAGGGGTTGAAGAGTCGGGCTGAGCCAGCGCTGAGGGATCTGGGGGAGTTGGGAACGGTCAGGGGGAGGGTCATGGTGGGGCTGGAGGAGCTGCAGGGGCTTTTCCAACCTCTGTGATTCTGTGAAGGAGGGGCAGCTATTTCAGCTGTACTCTATATCAATTTAAAACGCAAATAGAGTGATTCACTGTGTCACCAAAGATGTGATATTACCATCATCGTCTACAGGTTACGTCAGATTAACTCAGTGCTCTGCTGCATATAACCACAGCTACTGTTCTGTGAGATTTGATCAGGTTTGATCAGGTCTCATGTTGCCATAAGGAAGTCTCATCTTGGGTCCTGGCTGCTCCTTCATGGTGGAGGTCAGAACTGTCTGAAAAAGAAGGTTTTTTTCTTCTTTCTGCTCTCTTATCCACCAGTTACTCTTTATAGCTTCCAAGTGCTCTGCAGAAGTAATTTCTTCTACCCAAGCCTGGTCTTTATTGTATTCTCCACAGTCAGCCAACTCTCGCTTCACTTTTCCCTTCCACTTGTTGTGATCTTTAAAGCTGCCTTTGTCTAGATTATTATAAAAAATTGGTTCTCAGGCAAGTAATGCGTTACTGCTCAGTTCTCAGGGTGCGTGTCTGGATGGTTTTGGTGTCTTCAGTACTGTCTGAGTAAGAAAATACTTCCAGCTGATTCAGTAAAGAACATGTAATGCCATGCTCACTCATCACTCGCTCATCATCCACTCTTTCAGATCCACTCCTGTTGCACCTACACACTTTGTTCATGTAGGTAGATCCTGTGTGGTGCTGGAAAGAACTAATTGGTAATTAGTAAAGAAGTCACCTTTAGGAGGCCCGTGCTCTGTAGACGTCTCCAAGCCGCTTCTTTTGCAAAGCAGTGCAGACATTGACTGAAATTGCTTGTGTTGGTTAACAAGAAGCTCGACATGATCCAGCAACATGTGCTGGCAGCCCCGAAAGGCCCCGTGTGCGGGGCTGCACCCAGAGCAGGGTGGGCAGCAGGGCCAGGGGGGGGATTGTCCCCCTCTGCTCCGCTCTGGGAGACCCCCCTGCAGGGCTGGGTCCAGCTCGGGGGTACCAACAGCAGAAGGACACGGACCTGCTCGAGTGGGGTCAGAGGAGGCCACGGAGATGCTGGGGGGGCTGGAGCCCCCCTGTGAGGACAGGCTGGGAGAGTTGGGGGGTTCAGCTGGAGGAGAGAAGGCTCCGGGGAGATCTTAGAGTGCTCCCCCGGGGCTGAAAGGGGCTGCAGAAAAGGGGGGGGGGACACTCTGGATCAGGGGGGAGGGATAGGAAAAGGGCTAACAGTTTTAAACTGAAAGACGGGAGACTTAGATGAGATCTGAGGCAGAAATTGTTCCCTGTGAGGGGGGTGAGGCCCTGGCACAGGCTGCCCAGAGAAGCTGTGGCTGCCCCCTCCCTGGAAGGGCTCAAGGCCAGGTTGGACGGGGCTTTGGGCAACCTGGGCTGGGGGAAGGTGGCCCTGCCCGGAGCAGGGGGGTGGGACTGGATGGGCTTTAAGGTCCCTTCCAACCCAAACCACTGTGATTCTAAATGCAGGTTTAGTGAAGGCAGAGGCAAAACTACTCACTCTACATTAGCAAGTTTGTAACTGGAGCTGAATTTCAGTTAGAGCAAGTCCCTGGGTTGGAGGCAAGAGTTGCTGCCCCCATTGATTTGCAGGGATTATGAGGCTTGAGTAACTCAACATAGGCTTTAGGTTTCTGCCTTTACAAACATGTAACCATGTGGGTTACCAGCCCTTCTTGAAAGCTTGCAGGTAGGGATAGAAGACTTGTTCTTTCCCATTGGCAAATACATTTCTATTAAAGTAGTCGCATATTTTATCTTTCATATGACCGCAGTAGCAGCAGTTCTCATCCAGTACTGCTAAAATCCATCTAGAATTAAATTGGCCTTGAAGAAAGCACTTCATGTTTTTTTTCTGAAACATAATAGTTGATGGATCCATGAAATTGGTTTCAACGTGTTGCTTAAAGATTTTTAAAGAAATTTTCCTTTTCTCTTTTCCTCTTTGTGTTTCTCATCACTCCTTCTCTTTGACCAGATTGAATTAGTTAGACGAGATTATGTGGCTAATGGTGGCTGGGAGACCTTCCTCTCTTACGAAGATCCAGAGCAGGATATTCTCGTTGGCCTCCTACGACTGCGGAAGTGTTCGGAGGAGTCCTTCAGACCTGAGCTGAAAGGAGGTGTCTCCATTGTCCGGGAATTGCATGTGTATGGGAGCGTGGTCCCCGTGAGCAGTCGGGATCCTTCAAAATTTCAGCACCAGGTACTCCAAACCATCTTTATTTGTCACCTGTGCCTCTTTCTTGCACCCTCCTCCCCTCTCCTCAATTATAATTGGCGAAGCATTTTATTTGATATCTTAGATTTATTCAGTTGCTTTGAATTATAGTTGGCTACAAGGGAAATAGAATTTAATTTGAGCCCTTTCTTGCATTTCACCTGCTAAAATCAGGCTGCCTCTGAGTTTTTGCTTGTGTGATCATGTTTAGGCAATTGTAACTGCTCTGAGATTAAAAAAAAAAATAAATATGGCTGAATGCTGTCAGTGTTGCTTCATGCCCATACAGTAAGTGTGCTGGTGCTAATTTGACTTTTGAGTACTAAGCATCTTTGGTCCTGAAGTATCTTTCCCTTGCTACCCTGTACAGTACATCAGACCTGACTGCGAACTGAGTGAAAACAAAGCAAAGGGGATACATCCATTGGTGTCTTTTTATTTCCTTCTAAAACTGATCTTGTTCAATAGATGAATTTCACTTCTGACATCTTAAATAATTACATATGGGAAGATGAGATTTTCTTTGGTACTACCTAGTTTTCTTTCAAAGGAACATTAGTTGTATACATTTTCCTTACCAAAACAGAAGAAATCCAGATTTGGTGCAGAGGTGTTTATGGGTTTAAGTCATTTGGTGAGACTCCCAAGTCTTTTAGTTGGATCAGAAAGTTTTTTGCTTCAGACATGGTTGTGAAACCATTTCATGTATGTCTTGAAGCATGTGAAGAACAGAGTAGAGAGCTGTGTTTCTACCTCCTTGCAGTGACTTGTATGAAAATGGCACATTATCCTTCTGCCGCACGTAACATGCTGTGGCTTGTGGTGAGCAAAAATGTGAATTAAATTTTGCCCTCGTAGGTTTTGAACCTTTAGACTGAGCTTTCAAAAAAGCAATCAGTTAGTCCTCTTTGCCAGAAGTGCTCAGGGCTGATGCTTTAAATTAACTTCCTTGTATTTATTAATCTTTCCCTGAGTATATGCATTAAGATGCAGTTTTGCTAGATGCTGATGATGTGTGACCGTAAGACAGTGGCTCATGGCGATGTGGGGGAAGGATATTTCCTCTATAAAGTAGTTAACACTTAAAAATGTAGGAAAGAAAAGGTGGTCATCCTAAGTATTTAAAAAAAAAAAAAAAAGAGAGAGAGAGAGAAAATCAGTTGAAAGTAGCCCAGTACAAACATTTAAATAGACTGCAAATTGAAATTTCATGGCATATGACGCAGTCATGTTCATTCAGACTAGTCAGTGTTCAAGAGGTTAATCAGAAAGTGTTCTTCACAGTTGTGGGGGCAATTTCTGATTAGAAGGACGTTTTAGAATGAAGATTTCTTTGTGTTATTTAAAAAATGCCTGTAACTGTCAAATGTGTTTTAGAATTAAATCACATCTGCTTCAGTGTCGCCACAGCCCCGTTCTGTACATCCTGTCAGGAAAACAGATGGACAAAGAGACGAGTACAATTTCTGCATCCTAATGTTAGGAGTGAATTAATCCAATCAATTATTCCCAGATATATAGGACAATGATGTTGTTAAATAGAGTGGAAAGGCTATTCCCTTATTTTGAAGCATTATTTTGATTTCTGTAGCACTCCTGTTGTGCAGGGTTTCCAAACGTAAATAGAGGCATGGATCTGATCCAGAATATTAACGTGTTCTTCTGCAGTTCTTTTTGATTTGGCATCTCCTGTGCCACGGGCTGAGCCTAGGAGAGCAGTACGGAGCTTGAGCCCAGCCTAGGTCTGCAAGGGTCACGCGGCGGTTTGATGCAGCCTTTGTGGGTAGCTCTGACAAGCCCTGTGGTCGCTGTGTGCCTCCGTTCTTCATCCCAAAATGAGCACGGTGACAGATCCTGACTCCTGGAGGGGTTGTGGAAATAAAAATGATGAGGCGCTAAGGCAACGTGTGTATCAGAAAAGTGAACAGCGGCGGGGTCTGTCTCTGGGTCTGTAATGTCTGGCTGTATCCATTTCAACTGGGTTCAGTTTTGGGCCCCTCACCCCAAAAAGGCCATTGAATGACTCGAGCGTGGCCAGAGAAGGGCAACGGAGCTGGGGCAGGGTCTGGAGCACAGGTCTGCTGGGGAGCGGCTGGGGGAACTGGGGGGGTTCAGTCTGGAGCAGAGGAGGCTGAGGGGAGACCTCCTGGCCCTCGGCAACTCCCTGCCAGGAGGGGGCAGAGAGGGGGGATGAGTCTCTGGAGCCAAGGCCCCAGCGCCAGGCCCCGAGGGAATGGCCTCAAGCTGCCCAGGGCAGGGTCAGGCTGGCTCTGAGGAAGGATTTCTTTGCAGAAGGGGCTGTTGGGCGTTGGAATGGGCTGCCCAGGGCAGGGGGGAGTCCCCGGGATCCCTGGAGGGGTTGAAGAGTCGGGCTGAGCCAGCGCTGAGGGATCTGGGGGAGTTGGGAACGGTCAGGGGGAGGGTCATGGTGGGGCTGGAGGAGCTGCGAGGGCTTTTCCAACCCGGATGGTTCTGGGATTCTGTGAACTGCTGTCCCCAGTCAGAGCGGTGCTGGGAGCTTTCTGCAGTTCGGCAGCGTGGGCAATTTTAGGCGGCGTTTGTGCTCTGGCTTTATTTAATTCACCAGCACAAACCGAAGTCTAGTAAGGTAGGTGTTGGGATGGGTGACTGTTGTTTAGGATTGGTTCTTTCAGCAGGGTAGACTCGTTCAGCACCAGGAGTTACAAGATGCCTACCAAGTCCTTACCATCACTGGATTTAACTTCATTCTGCTCCTGCCGTTGAGAAGCAGTCAGACACTAGAACTGCCTACAAATAATTTCATGATCAGAAAAAAAAAACCCTGAGAAAGCTCCACTCTAAAGTTTAATGTTGGTACACCTCTTCTCAAGCCCTTTCCTGCAAGATTCAGCAATATTCCTGCTCACAGGATCATTCCTGTGCCAAAAATATGAGTCTTTTGAAACTGTACTAATGCTTACATTCTGACCTGGCTTATATACTTTCTATTTTTACGGAACTTATCTTTTTCTTCCTGTTATTTTTCTCATTACAGGGATTTGGCATGTTACTGATGGAGGAGGCAGAAAGAATAGCCAAGGAGGAGCATGGGTCATGGAAAATTGCTGTAATTTCAGGTACCTTTGCTTTATGCCTCTTTTTTTTTTTTTTTTTTTTTTTTTTTTTTTTTTTTATATATATCTTAATCTGAAAATAAACCCACTGCAGCCAACACCACTGCTGTGAACTTTCATCATATTAGGTAGAAAACGAGCATCAGCAGATGCTTCTTCATAATGGAATCAGATTCCATCGTAGCTTTGTCCTGACAATACCAGGACTGTAAACCACATACCAGAGGACACGCTGCGGAGAACCATCCTGCTTTTAGTGCCAAAGGAGACGGACTGCGTGACCCCGGCTGTCTTCCTCCTCCTCCTCCAAACACTCCTATTCCCAGCCTCGCTGATTTGGCCCTGTCGCAGGTTGTTATTGTCGGGGGCTGCTTTCCAGAGCTTAGAGGATAGAAAATTGCCAGCCTCCATTTTAGAGTCTTTCTGCAAGTGCCGTCATTAGGGTGGACAGATGTGCTTTTAGGATACATTAAGCATTATCATGAAGAAGGGAGCTATGTAAGAAAGAGCTTGCAGCCCTTTCTTCTATTTCATTTTCAAGACATTGTGACTAAGAAGAGCGGCATCAGTTCATTGCGTGCGTGTGAAGTCAAGGTCGAGACTACCTTTGTGTCTTAATTTATCTTATATTAGCAGTTATGGTAGCTATAGAAAGCTTTTACAGGCATATAGGTTATATAACTGGGGAAGCTGGTGGATTGCATGTGAAGAGAAACTCTTGTTGGCTTAAGATTGATGTATGCTGGGGGATTTAAACAGAATAGCTGTAATATAATTTTTTTTTAAAAAAAAAACCAAATCGTCTTCTGTTGCCCTACCAAAAAACCTCAAAAATCAGAAATCCCCAGCTTTGATCCAAGCTGCTGAATGCTGAAGAGAAGAGGTTCTCTGTGTGTTTCCAGCTCTGTAATGTTGTCCCTGGATGTTGAAAAGCCAAAGTGGGCCATCTCGACAAGTACTTGTGACAAGGGCTGGAGTGTGAGTGAGGACAGCGTGCAGGCAGTAGCCAGATGCTGGAAGATAATTCTGTATTTTCTGGATTCCCTGTTTCTTGTTTGCTTAAGCCATATGCCAGTCGTGTTTCCCTATAGCTGCTGCATGGTGTCAATTTGAACTGGGAATTTTACGCAGCTAAGAAATGTCCGTACCACGTCACTCCTTGGTAAAGAAAAGGCACAAAAATTGAAATTTTTTTTTTTTTTGGTTCTGCTACTAGTGTCTTGGCTTGGGATGTGTGGAGAGAAGAAATAGCAATTCCTCTGTGCGAAAGAATACTACTTTTGACAAGAACAGAAAACGTACAGAAATTACTAAAAAATAATTTGTGAAGGCATCCATGTGACTAATTTTAGCTGTGTTTTAGGAAACTGATGTGACGAATATATTCTAGCATCAAGATCCAGTGCAGGAAGTCTTGTTTTGCTGCATGCAGTTTGTGGAATCCTGCTAAGAGCGGAGTGCAAAGTACAATATAGTACAATTTGTCTTTGAATACAGAATGCTACAGCATCTGCAAACACGACAAGTTTTCCAGCTGTTTCCTTGGTGATGTTACCACTTGAATTTCAGTTCTCCTGTAGGTTTTATCTGTAATAAAAATGCAGCCAGAAGTTCTTTCTCCGTTGGAGGATGAACTTGGTTTTGCTAATTTTGGTTTCCAAATAGATTTTTTTTAATCTGGGAACCCATTGCAAGGTTACATCTCCAACCTATTGGAAAATTTTGACTACTTTCTAGAGGGAAGCATGTAAGGGAGATTGGCTTTGAAGATGTATCTCACAGGACTCTATCTCATCAGCACTGCATGTTTTTATGAATGCTTTGTTGCAGTGTTTTGTTTAACAGTGTCCTTTCTCCAGCAGTATTTTCCAGTCTTGTGCTTAGTGGCTACATCAGTACTGGTCAAGAGAATAGAGCCAGAATATGCAAACTGGTCCCTGGTCCACACTGATGCACGTGCTGTGCTGGAGAACTGCGTGGGGCCGTGCTGGTCCATCAGGGCTGAAACCTTCTCGGGGCTCCTGCTATCAAAGTGGTTGAATTTCTGTACTCTTAACAACTTTCAGGAAGGTTTTGTCTGAGTGGCAAACTCTCTCTTTGATTTCTTCAGAAAGAACTACATGTATTTTTAAGATAGGACAGCATGAAAGGTTTTCATTGTTGACTAGGGCTGATCTCTAAAATCAGTTCAAGTTCAGCTCTGGTTAGAAATTTGCAGCAGGCATCATGGCAGGGGGATTGGACTAGATGATCTTTAAAAGTCTCTTCCAGCCAAAACCATTTGATGATTCTGTGATTATCTGTGACTGTTCCCTACCCTGCCTTTGAGTAGGGGTATCTCATACTGATTGCTTTAGGACAGCCCCTTTCTTAGGGACCCTAAATGACTGGATACTCCTCAGTGTCCTGCTGTATGCCGGAGCCTGCAGTTGATCACTGAGGATACCCCTGTCTCTCCAGACGTGGGAAGCCAGACACCCATCTCCAGCTCGTGCAGCTGGTGGGGGGCCTGCTGCCCCTTTAGGGAATGAATTTGGGGAGATAGATAAGTCTGGAGGGGTCCGGGAGTCTTTGTCTGATTATTTGCCACGGCCTTGGGTTGAAGCATGTCTTGAAGTTAGTTTGGAAATGCATTTCACTCAAGCCAGATGAAGGTAAGTTCAGATGAAAACATGTATGTACAACATCCGAAACAGGCAATACCGTTACAAGTGGTTATAAAAAACAGGAAAGAAAGAAAGAAAAAAAACCCCACCATATGACTAATCTGCTTTTAGTGAGGTTACATGAGAAACGCCTCTCTCTTGTCCAGCTGATTTGCTGCCCATCCTGATCAAGGCAGTATTCAACATTTCCTGACATCTCAGGCTGTGTCCATTAGAGTCTTACTCATTAGAAACCTCTTTTCTCCGTGGCAGAGCACGTTAGCTGCCAGACCCAATTTTCCTTTTGTCCAGGCTCCCCGGAGGACTTCAGGTAAAATCTTTTCCTCTTTGCCTCTGCTTGCTTCCTTCCCACGTATATCCTAATCACTACTCTTAATTAAATATTATTTCACTTGCCTTCAAATGCAGATGTCCCCTTCGTTAGGTCAGGTGTCGTGTCTTGTACTTGCCTGTTTCTTGCTTCAAGGAGGGCTAAAATTCCTTCCCCCTCAGCAGTGAGTCAGATGCATATTTCGGCATGAAGTGTTCGCATTTTTATATTCTCTGTCAGGCAGTACTGTAAAATCATTTGATACAAACATGTAAATGGGAAACAAGTGAGTAATTCATGATTGCCTCCTGATTAAGACCCGTAGGACCATAATAATCAGATCGGGGTGACTGATCCCAACATCTTTCTCCTAAGCATACTGCAGCAGCCAGGAATCCACAATCGCAAAGCTGTGAATAGAAATTAAACTAATACCACCTGTTTTCTGTAGTCTCCACAAGAGATAAAATCGTTCATTATAGTCAGTGACTCATCTCCCAGTCTGTTGGTGCTGCTTGAGCACAGTGTCTCATGTGTTTAAGGAAACTGTGCTACTCTTGCCTTCGCCTTTTGCAGTTAGGGAGAAAACAGAGGTTCAGAACTTTCTAAAAGTAAATCTGATGCATCATACTGGCATTAAATTCACCTGCAATGAAGAACATTGAGGGGAGAGAAACTGAGCTGGTGTATAAATCAGAGGTAAAGTTTCAGGGCATGGTTGACGGTACTCTGAGGTATCCTAATTTCTCTGTGTAAACAGCCTTCTGGTCACCCTAGAAAGAATAAATTACTTGAGTAATCAGCGTCTCGTAGTTCATATTGGACGTTGATTCATGGCCTGCCTTGGAGATTGCCAACTGCCAGGGTGTACTCGGGAGAGCTTAGGACGAGGCTCCGAAGTGTTGCTGGGAGAATTGATGGGGTTTGCGAGGGCTCCCTGGAGTTTTGCTTCCAGCTCTGGTTGGCTGTTTTTAGAAACGCCAATCTTACTAGCTATTAATAAGAAAAGAAGTGGCCCAAGATAAGTGGAAATGTGGGAACGTTAATGAATTGACTCTCTGATGTTTGTCCGCTTCAGACTGATGGCCTTTGAGGAAAAAAAAAAATAAAATAATTAGGGGGATTTGGAAGAAGCCAAGGATAAACGCATACTAGGGGACTGGTGCTGTGGAATAGCCACTGTGTACAATCCTTGAGTTCTTAATGAACTTCAATTTTGAAGGTTTAATAATGCAACAGCTTTGAAAACAGGCTTGATAGTATATTAACTGGGATTTTGATGCAGGTATGAACAGGAATATTGCTGTCCTTAAGCAAGGACACTTCTGCAGAAGGCAGCATTCTGCAAGGGTGTTCTAGTAGGAAGCTTTTTTAAATATACATACACCATAAGATATGTTACAAAGATTTATAATGTGGCCTAACTTCTGCATAATACAGCCCAGAGACATCCACGTATCTTGCATCTGTCTGTTTTGGAAAGTGGGAATCTGTCTTGATTTGTGAAGGCTTTTGTGTGGTCTCCATCTGCAGGAGCTTTTCTTAGAGTGGGCAGAGGAAGAACCAGTAAGACAAACCCTACGCAGAACCTAGTGAGCAGGAGCTGAATGTTTGAGGAGACCTCCTTTGAGCTTCTTTCCTCAACAACCCTTTCCCCAATCTCAACCCAAGCCATTCCCAAGTTTATAAAACCCAAACAACTGAAAAACCCCACAAATTCTGAAATTATATTGGGTAGGAAGCATTTAGAAATCGAATTAATCGTGAATTGAAAGTGATTTTCATCCTAGTGACTTGTAGAGCACAGCAGTATAAATAAAATCACAGAATGGTTTGGCTTGGAAGGGACCTTAAAGATCATCCAGTTCCAACCAGGGCCACCTTCCACTAGCCCAGGTTGCCCAAAGTCCCGTCCAACCTGGCCTTGAACCCTTCCAGGGAGGGGGCAGCCACAGCTTCTCTGGGCAACCTGTGCCAGTGTCTCAGAACTGTGACGAATAGCAGTTTTCAGGGATTTAAAAAGAAATATATAATTTACTTTCATGGGAATTTTCCTCTTTGGTGCTGTTCTTACACTACCCGCAAGTGGTAATCCTCCTTTTCAAGGCTGCACTGGGGGTTAAAGGCTTAAAGCTTGTTCTTAGTCAAAGCTTTGAGTGTAGCGTTCGTTGAGTTGTGGGTTTCATCTTTGTTGTGTTTATAACCCAAATTCGACACACACTTGCAGTCCAGCTTTTCAACTGCTGCTTTAGCAGAGAATTACTTCTGGCTTAAGGCAAGCTTATCTCCGGTGTGCTTTGTTCATCTCTAAAGGCTGCTACGGGAAAACTTA